TAATTGTTTAAATACATTTCTATCATCCAGGTTGTAGGAATTTTGGAAACTGTATGCATTTTTTAAATCATCTTTTTGTATGGCGTATCTAAATATAAACGGTATCATCGATTTCATAAAGGTTCATAAGACTTGAAACATTTAAATACTACACTAGATATGACTAACACATCATCAGGCTATTTATTACATCTTGAATATAATATAAAAACTTAATGGTGAAAACTATTCATATTGGCCAATTAAGTATCAAAAAGACTTGACCATCACAATTGTTCTTATTTATCTTACACACTTGATGAATTCAGTAGGAACCTAGTATTGTTCAGATACTGAAGAATGTATGTTGCATAAACTAACCCAACAGATCTTAAATACCACTATAAAATAGTATTATTTGTTTAGAGCAATTACTGAATAAGAAGACACCAATTTACATAAATTATGAAATTATTACAAGGAACAAGCCAGTTGAATAATAATTTTCATTAGGGAGAGAAGCTTTTTCGTATTTCTGATAAATAATAATTGAAGTTGTCATTATTCATGTATATCTTAATCTACAAACATAATTTATGAGATTCAAGCGATTCAACGTTACTCTGATTGCATATGTTCTCAGTTAATCCATTCAATTTTCGGATTAAAAAGCGATCCTGTTAACTGAATTATTAGATTATGCAAGTAATGGTTGTGTAAACCGAGATAAATTAATCCCAACCTACACAATTCACTGAGCTAAAAATATGAGTTTATATAGCCAAAACAACCTAATAAAGTAGTGAAAGCGAATGGTTGCATAGCAATTATGCATTTACACATAATTTAAATCCAGCATTTATCGTGAGTTGTATGATAATCTACCAGTGAGTCAATAACAAAAAGCGAAATTATTTTGTAATAACTAATGAATTTAAATTGTTCAAATGACTTATTCTTTTATTATTCTTTTATATTTTTCGCCAGCATTGTGAAACACAAGCGGACGAACAGTTAAAATTTAGTAGTCAAATATTCATATTTTTTCATAGCGTAGGTGATGAATTCATTTTTTAAAGGGTTTGCCAACAAAAACGGTTCAGTGAAAAACTTTTCCCCCGAAAATTTGATTTACTTCAGTTGTACAATTGTATTCATGAATAAACTTTTGCAAAATGTGTTAGTCTATAGTAAGCCAAACGTACTGAGTAACTAAAAAACTCTTGAGTGGTATATTGTCACGATTTCTTTCGCTAATACTTAGGAACTTGTGAAGTTTTTATTTAATATTTTAATTCCAAATACCAATCGTTTTTTATTGACTTTGAATTGTGTAAACATTCATCATATTTGTATCGTTTGAAATTAACTGAGATTAAAGACATAAAAGGAAAAAGCGTTTCTTTGAAATTCCAGTCGAATATGGCATCTGAACCCATATTATATTGATTAGCAATTATTATAATTTGATTGGATTAAAATATTGTGTAGATTTATAATTGTGTATGTTTATTCTTAATAGTAAATATCATGAAATTCTGCATGTATATATTTGCTCTTCTTCTTTCCTATTTCAGCTGTCAAGCTCATGAACTTGTACAAAATATTGTTAATAACAACACATTAATGGATTATGCATATACGTTTTAACTTTAGAAATTTGTTAAAACTGCTATGATGCTCAACACAGTCAAACAGTTAATGTGATCTCAAAACAACCAAATGAGGAAAACAAACAATAACAATCTTATGGCTGTGTGAACCTTAAAGAAATCCATTCAAGAATAACTAAGAAGCACAAAGTTTGCCGTCATCTAAATTTAAACGACGGCAGAACAAATGAACATTTAAATTTCAGGTTACGTTTGATCGAATTATGAATACATCAGTAGACATGATAACCGTGAAAAAACTAAAACAAGTACATCTTAACATACAGAAACTGAATGACGCAAAAAAGAATAAATGCCTCACATTAAGGAAATAACACTGACAAAAGACGTATTATTAAATAATCCTTACAAACAGTTGACGGTAAAGTACATGTCTACTTTTCAATAAAAATAAAAATAATAAAACCCACTAATTAAGCATTATTATTTACCAAGATTGACGTGAAAAATGTTTCTTTAATTGTTCCATCTTAAAAGTATGACACCGTTACGTGACAATATCTAGCTTGCCTTACAATCCAGCCAAATCCAAGACATACTCCTAACTTTCTTAGTTACAAAGAACATAACTAGCTGTAGATAAATAGTTAGAAGTTCACAAAGTTACGGTGACCCACTGGGCATATGGTCGGCTTTGGTCATAGACTCTATAGCCTTCTATGAAATATGATTTTTGTTTAATTTAACAAGAGAACATATATTTTATATCGCCATGACTAAAGCTGTCTTTAATTTTTATGAACAAATGATTACGTTTACAGCCATTATATGAATACAAGGTTTTGAGAGCCTAATATCTGTACCACTAGATCAAGACTGCCACAAAAACTCTGCATCTTTACTCGGTAATATTTGATAGTTATTCTATGATTATATTCAAGCATTTTGGCTACACGGTAAATCATATTTGAGTTATAACAGTCAATAATATGCACTTCCATTTGCTTTTTTGATTGAAAATATTTTTATCACTTGAATCGGAAATAAACAAGGATAATGGCTGAATTTTGTTTGTTACAGATACGTGTTTATCAGACAGTTTACGGCTATCAAACATAGATTTGATGAGTAGCATATGTGCTCCAAAAATAACAGACGCATTAAAACGATAGTAGATTCAACTATTTCAACAATCTCCCCGTACATATGTACGTAATAACATATATCCTCGATTGTTGAGATCATGCCAAAATAAACGACATGAAATGTTTCGAAACTTTTGTTGATTTTTTTTTACGTGATATAATCTAACTATACTTCGACCAGCAGTGAATGGAGTTTAATTACCAAAACAATTTCAAACTAATTTGATAATAGAGCCAAAATAGAGTATGCAAAAAATGCCGACCACTTTATATCACGTCTTGACGTTGCATTAAAGTATGAACATTTAAATGACAATGTTGAACATTTTTAGAAAAAGACATACAATAATAACATACGTGGATAAAATTAAACTTCTTGGAAAATATTATACTCTTATCAAATGTACCAACTTTGAGAGTTTTCAGAAATTTCTTTTTTAAATGCGTTTTCACCTCTTCATAGGGCAAAGAAAAACCTACTGAAAACAGGTAACACGACTAACCGAAAAATATAATAATTAGTAATATTAAAAACAGTATCATTTCGATTAGACGTTTTAAGTGAATCGCCGGTTGGAAGATGTTATTCACTCTTATAACGCATTGTAAATTGTCTTATGTTTTGTGTTATTTACTCGAAATGATAATGATATTGGACGTACGTAACAAACAATTTGTTTGACTTCGTGAATACTTTTTTATTAATGAGGAAAATAATTTCATCTGCATTGGCCTCTAAGAATACATCAGTGTAATTATTTCGAAGAACATAAGAGAGAGGATTAAAGCATGAACAAAATATCAACTGACCACAAACTCACGAACACATATGTGACGTTTGAATGAGTTTCACGACTTAAGGTCCAATATTACGAAATGTAGTATGATATAACAAAATCGTGAACAGAATGTTAGATGATAATTGTTGCACAATGAACTCACTAACCATTGAGCCCTTATAAGTCATTGTTTACTTAATTTTATTAGTTTTATATTCTGTTTCACATTCAGTCGTTAGATTATGTCATATCCAGCTGAATGCACTTCAAGCATTCTGATCACATATATATTCATTTGTCAAAGCATCTATTTCTGAAAAATTGTGAGTTAACCAAAAAAACTGAAAGGTAATATGGAACAAGGTGATAAGGAAAGCCACTCTGAGACACAACGATCAATAAAATTCAACAGGCCCATTTAAGATTAACGAAGAAGATTTAGTCCATGTAGTGGTAAACAAATCCTCTTCTAAACAGTTCTGCGTCATCGATATTATTCTCATTAGTTTTAATTACCAAACTCTGAACCAAAGCAGTTCATTCAAGCACCTGAACTGTGCAAGATATTTGCGAAATAACGCTCCCTAAAATGCATTGGTAAAACATTGCACCACTGGAAAACTTCGAAATTGTCTTTCTATCCATTTCACAAACTCAATAGCTTCAAACTAAAGCTCTCTGTCACACACTAATTCATTTAAAGTCGTAGAAATTTGGCAGTGTTCTGTTCAAAGAAAGGTCTCAAAACTTGGATTTTTACACATTAGATAATAAAGCACAGACCACGAGCACATGCCTCAGATCTTCTGGTAAAAGTATTTACTTCCAAGTGAAAGATTTCTTGCTCGACGGAAACAGGTTCTCAACTTATACGATTCTTCAGGTCATCGACGTTGGTAGTCACTGATATATTTTCATTTTAGCTAGAATGAATATTATACTTTGATGGTGTGATTATAGAGGTATGTTAGAGAGAGTCTAGAATATTTAAAAAGTAAGTAGACGGCTAAGAAATCATACAAGATACGCTTGTTTTTAGGTATGAAAGTGGTTGAATACAGTAAGCAATAACGCACACTTAAAACTAAGGTTAACCAAAAGTCGAATTAAATGATTAGCAATATGATTTCAGGTAGATATTGTGACTTCGTATAACGATCAAATATCACAACAGATCATGGGAAATTTTTGTGGCTGATGTCAAACACGAAGTAAGTCTAGTAAACCACAAACTTTAATACATCATTATGAAAGGCAAGTGCAGATACAACACACTTATTGTAAACCCCGTAAATAACATCTCCTTATATTACAATAAGCTGAAAAAAAAGAATGGGCCTTAAACAGTTTTTAAGCATAAACGATGGAAATTGTTAAGCATGAACAGTGACAAGCTCAATGTAAATGTGTTGTTATTTTGAACGGCTAAACGAATAGTATTTCAAGGTTGTTAGCGGGACGTTTCGAAACTTTGCGCACTTTAAATGGCTGATGAGAAGCCACGAAGAAAACTAATTTTACACTTTGATGCCAGGAATACTTTGTTTCTGTCAGATAAAAGTTATCGTTTTACTATTGAAGAGGCACTTAACAATTACATTTCTGGAATTGTATGGGGTAAGCAAAATGGTTGATTAGTTTTTACCCGTTATTTCTCAAACCTCAGTTTTCTGATTTTTTGAGAGTTCAAAAAAATTTAGGAATATTTTGATAAACAAAAGCCACAGACCTCAATATATCTATATTATTTGCTTTAAACGTCTATTCAATTTGGTGGATGGTTGTAAGTGTTTGAATTTTTGCGAAAACTTTTGCATTTATTAAAGGCCTGAAATCGGTTATTCACAAGGACAATTTTGAACGTTTTGAGTTAAGTGGAAGAAAGGAACCCAGTGTATCAGCACTTCGACTTTTGTTTTTGAAATATATTGAACTGTTTTGAATTTTTTTGTCTTAAGTGAAAGAACAAGATAATTTTCAGTTTCAGTTTGGAAAGGACATGAGGCTTGATGGCTTGTTTTAGTCTTGGCAGTAGTGGTCTCTCAGTTGATCCAACCTTTTTTGAAAAAGTAGACGGGTTGAGCTTCAATCACGAGCTGAGGTAATGAATTCCACTCGTTGATGATTCTATGGGAAAATCGATAGTCAGCTGACAAGTAGTTTGTTCTGAGCTTGTGAAAATTTTGGAATGTCCTCGTAAATTCTCTGTTTTGGAGGACGAGAAAAATGAGGTCATACCAGGCGCAAACTTATCGCTAAGCAATTTGAACCTTGTAGCCAAGTCGCCTCTAGTTCTTCGATATGACAACGGGAAAAGGTTTAGCTTGGCCAGCCGAGCATCATACAGAAGCTTTGCTATTCCGGGAATCAGCTTAGTTGCTGTTCTCTGGACCTTTCCCAGAAGCTGACTGTCTTTTTTATGCAGGGGCTGGCCGCTTGCATGCAGTACTCACGGTTAGGACGTACGAACACTGTATACAAAGTCAAAGACGTCTTAGCGTCGATATGACTAAAAGCCGTACGTATTGATCATAACGTTCCAAAACGTTTGGCGGCTATTGCACGGCAGTGTGAAGTAGTCTTTACGTTTTGGCTAACGATGACTACTAAGTCATTATGTGTCTGGACGACAGGTAGCTCAGTGTTATTCATCGTGTATATATCTGTACCTTGGTGACCGATATGCATTGCACCTGTTTTCAAAACAGGACTTACTATGGCGTTCTTCCAGTACTTTGGTAAACGACTTTGCGTTGCGGATAGATTAAATCGTATAATTAAAGGGTTTGCAACGAAGTTAGATAATTCTTTCAGTAGCCTAGTATGCAATTCATCGGGCAACGTGGATTCATCTATGTCAAGCTTATTTAGCAGACCAAATACATCAAGTTCTTTAATGGTCACGCTATCCAGTGTATGTGTGGGGAGATTTTTATGCGCTGGCGGGGAGGGTGTTTCTATGATATATACATTGCTAAAGTAGTTTGAGAACACTTGAGCCTTAACAAAGTCGTCCTCCACTAATGATGCGACATTACTGTCTCCCCATAGTGCAGGAATATTTCCTCTTCTTTTTGTCCTTTGGTTTATATAAGAATACAAGTGTTTAGAACATTCTATGAATTTCTTAACTATTTTCTCTTCGTATAACTTTCTAGATTTACATAGGGTCGAGCACAGGTATTACGAGCTTTTCGATACTGAGAATTTGTCTCATCAATCCCCAGTAATCTAAATCTATCCCACATTTTTCTTCTCTTACAGAGAAGGATAAGACAACAATTCCAAGTTTATAGTCCAATACCACACACTGATTTTAGGATACTTTCTATTGTAAAGGAGTAGAACAAAAGTCATTCGAAACTTTCCATTTTGTCTTCATAAAACGAACTAAAACGAAAATAAATGGTCTTTTTTTCTTGCGGTCGAATGTACTCATGTATGTTTGCTTCGTATTTGAAACAAGAACCCATTTGAGTTCCATACTGATTTTCTGACTCATGTGCGTCAAGCAGTATATTCTGAATATTATTTCATCAAAGTTATGAAACGCTTTACAAATAGCTTATAATATCCAAAACCTCTTGCCAGAGCCTCCCTTGATTCATCCGTGGTTCCGAGATCATTACTAACTATAACTCCTAAACTGTTATTATCCATAGCCTTGGGTCAGATTGTTAGCTAGAGATATTTTAATTATTGTGCATATGTTTAAATCTTCTGAACGACCAACTTCATCTAATACACTTTATGTGAGACTGACTTATGTGAGCTATCGATTCGTCCACTAAATCAAAAATCTTCAATATTTTGTTAACTCTATCTAATCACTCATTTTACGGATCTCTTGACTTTAACATCACCTACATGTAACAAAACTAAAAAGCGTTCTACCTTGTCTCGATCGATTACTCAGACTAAAGGCAGTACGGAGTGTAAAATTGTTGATTGGTAAACTCTATTTCCCACAGACCACTATAAAAATAAAGCATACCTTTGTACCACATTTCCTTTCCTTTTGCTAGAAAAGCAATGAGAGCAATCTCTTATTTTGCTACAAATATCGAATTTGTCCGATTTTACTCTGAATCTCGTTTAAGACTTCTTTGCGACTTACGAAAATACAACCTACAGGATATTTTTTCTGTTAAAGTCGTGTCATCTCTTGCGATAATTATTTTGTCAAACTTAAAGGAGATGCTACAAAACTAGATTGTCCTTATTCTCAAACATTGTCTTTTCAATATGTTAAGCAGTAACTGTTTGAATAATCTTTTTGAGTAATGTAACAACAGTACTTTTATAACTTATTAAACGACAATCATCAACTAAGTGCTTGTTTCTTATTTACAGACTGAATTAGTTGTAGCGTTTTTCCATTTTTTCCGGCTTTGATTGCCATTTGTCTTTTGATCGTATCGTTTTCAATGACTAGATTCTTTGAGCAACCTGATTTAATATCATTTGCTTTTTGTCCAGCCCTAGAAACTGAGTTCCGAAATAATCTTAAACGTTTTTGTTTCTATACTGATATTATTATCAACTCTGTTACTATGAAAATAGTCTTCATAAATTTATCCTGCTATGCTAATGTTCACTGAGAACGAAAACAGGTGCACATATGTGTCAGGTTTTAAATTACATATGACTGATTAAATATATCCTCCAGATTTCGAATAGTTCGAAAATCAGTATCATCAAAACCACTGAACTTGTCTGGTCTGAGATATCAGTAGCTTGTTTTTTAAGAGGCGTGTCTTGTGAAACGCTATTCGATATTTATCCCTAACTTTACCGTTTAGTGTTTATTTTCTCCCATTTATTTGCCTGTTTAAGAAATTCTCTGATACTTAATATGCTAACTTTTCACGGTTGGCTATACAAAACTGTAGCTTAAAGCCAGTAATAAAGGGTCATATATAAGATCACTGTCATTAATAACAAATTCTACGAAACCTATACATTCTCTCACATGTATTGTATCAAGTATATCATTTAATTATGTCTGTAAACACAGTACGCCATATATATATATATGAAACCAGAATAACTTGAGGTTTTCGTTTAAATATAAAACGACTAAAAGTCAAACAGGCAATTTACTTCTAGTCACAATAACCAAATCAATTTAATTACTATTAAAAAATACAACTTAAAAAGCCAAGTTTAGGCGATACAAAAAATTATTTTATCGATGATATCACAACCGTGTCTACTTTGAATCGACAAACAAATTGTTTTATTGAAAACCCAAAAGACAATTATACGATAGGGTGTTTGAGTTTTAGGCATCAAAAAAGATAGCGTAATGCATGAAAAGTTAGAAAATGACAAGATAAAGCTCAAACGTATGGTTGATGACTGTCTACTTGATGAGTATAAAACAGGTGAAGAATTTATATGATAGATTTTGAGGGCGTTTCTAACATGCAATTTAAGAATCTAGAAAAACACCGGAAAAAAATACTAACAACTAATTTACAGAGTTTGAGAAGTTATTTATTAGAGCCACAGTAGAATAGGATCCAAGATGCAACGTTTTGCACACAAAGCTATGACCTGAGCAGACGGTTTTTTAACCTCTTTGCAGTACATACGTTATCAAACTATTCTCCATTTAGATGATTTTTAAAGGTATATCGTGATCGAAGATGGGATAACTTTTTAATATTGAGCCACCAATCGTTCATCATCCGTTTGAGGGCCACGCAAAACAATACTCAAAAATTTGTTTAGAAAGTGCTTGGTTTCATTAATTAGCATGGCCTGCTCCACAAGGTCGAATGAATTGATGTAAATTTTCCAACTCTTCTTGAGGCTAAAATGGCTATAATTAATCTAAAGTCATGGGGAGCAGAAAAGCTTAACGGATTAACCTCTGAGATTTCGAAATGTGGCGGTCCAGTTTTGGCAGTTAGATTAACTAAAATATTAGCTAAAGTCTGAGAACTATAAGAATTCCCATCTTAATAGTCTCGATTGTTAATCGTCGCAGTCTTTAAGAAAGGACAAAAATCCTCCAGTAATAGTCACAAAGGGATAGTGTAGTGCCTAAAATGTTAGGATTTGGTTTTCTCCCTCAAAATGGTTTGTGTCACCGCATGAATTAGTGATGAGAAGTGAAGTAGTTGAACGCATCGACCCCTCCACTTATCTTGGGATTATCATAGGTACTGATGGTCTGCTATCTGACAACATCTTGGCTTGATTGGCTTTTACTAACTTACATCACTTGTGACGTAGGTGAAACATCCGTCTTCCGAACAAGGGGATAGTTTACTGTGCAGCACTTTGTTCCGTTCTATATTATGGATGTAAAATAGGACCATTAAGAGTAGAGAATATCCTTGGGTTACTGGTATTTAATCATAGATGTCTACGAACCATTACTCACGTATTTCAGGACTAAGGAGTAATCAACGTCTTGGTTAACAACAAAGCATCAAATAAAAGTTGGAAATTGATTAGTGAGGTATAAAAATCTTCATCAATTGAGGTGTTGGAAACATCGCCTACCTCTACAGGCGATGATTTCTGGTGTAGGATTAGGCTGAAGGAAAGCCAGGAGCGGTCAAATCAAAACATGCTCTCAGTCCATGAAGTCGTTGGCAATCGGG